GCACTAAGTAGTCTGGAAGATTTCCAAAGGTAGCTATGGCATGACTAAATCTGTACATGAGGCAGATTATTCTCTCAAAAGAATGGTTTGAACTGAGAAGTAACAAAGAGGAGGAAGCCTGGTAGGAAGCTGGTAAATAGTCCAGATGGGTAGTTATAAGGATTTTACCAGGGTGGTGATTATGAGAGGGATGAGAGATGGTACAGAAGTGAAATTGACAGGACGTGGTAATTGATTGCATATGAGAAAGGAGGCAAAGAAAAACATCATAGGTCATAGGACTGTAAGCTTGAAGCTAGAAGGGACCTACCTTAAAGGACCTCTAATCTAACCCCTCTCATTTCAAAGATGAGGCAACTGAAGCCCAGAGAAGTTACATGGTTTTCCTGTGGTTGTACAGGTAACATGACAGAGTCAGAATTCAAACCCAGGTCCACTGACCAAAAATCCAGCACTTTTCCCACTTTGCTGTGGAAAAATACACTGTAATACTTACAAGGTTTTGAACATATGGCTCCTTTGAATATTTTAAAAAATTTTCTAGTATTAAAAATATTCAATTCAGGAAAATAGATATTAAAAGAATAGGATATTAAAATCAAGAGGAGAAGAAAGTTTTTGTGGAAAGAGAATAAACCTAATTAAGGGCACTTTTAATTCAGGCTTCATCTAGCTAGGTCATGCCAAACTAACCTTATTTCATTTTTCGACAGGATTACTAGATCAGTAGGTCAGTGGAAAGCCATAGATACAGTTTAGCTAGATTTTAGTGGCGTCTGATAAAGTATCTCATGATAATCTTGTGGAAAAGATGGATCCATGGTTTAAACCAGTGGTGTCAAACTCAAATAGAAAGGGAGGCACTAAATCATACATAAGGATCCCTGGGGGGCAGATTGACTTAAAAGGCCACAAAATCACATTATCTACGTTTTGTTGTATTTTTACTTATCTTGTTAAATATTTCCCAATTACATTTTAATCTAGTTCAGCTGCACTCCAAAGTATCTGTTCGACACCTTTGGTCTAAATGATTGAACAGCTAGATGGAAACGGTTGAATGACTAGATCTAAAAAAAAAACCAAAATAAAACAAAATGATTAAAATACTAAGGGAAGCCTAAAGGGAGGTTTCTAGTGGAGTTTTCCCACAGTATATTATGTTCTATTTCACAGTGTTTACCAATAACTTGGATAAAGGTATAGATAGCATACTTTTAAAATTTGAAGATAGCAGAAAATTTGGAGGGCTAGCTAGTGTGCTGAATGACAGTCAGTTTTTAAAAAAAAATTTCAACAGGCTAGAATGTTGTTCCTTAATCAAATATGGTGAAATTTAAATTTGCAATAATAACAAAATTGCCCTGTGTGTCTGTGTTCCTTTTTATTCTCTCCTGCGTATTTCAAAATGTTTCATTGATGTTCTTTTTTCTTTTATTTCTTTTTTTTTTGCATCACTACTAGTACCTACTAACTACTCTCCTCCCCTTCCTTTGTAACCAATAAGAAAATACCCACACAGTAACGTGTCTGAGAATGTTGTATCTCTAGCATCCATCACCTCTTTACCGAGAGGTGGGGTGGCAAGCTTTAACATTAGCTTTCTGAAGTAATAATTGGTCACTATCTTGATCCAACTTCTGAATTCTTTCAAAGTTATTTTCTTGTAAGTTATTGTGGTCATTGTGCAAATTCTTCTCCAGATTCTCACTTCATTCAGCATCTATTCATAGAGGCCTTCTGAGATTTTTCTTGTAGCACTTCCATCTGGGCTTACTCCCTCAACTTTTACTTGCATTGCCAGATTGGGTACCTAGAGGGTCAGTTGCTACCTGAAGTTCTAGGGATAACCCTATATGTAGATATCCTTCTAACAATAGTTCACAAGCCCCCACCAGTATGCTTCACAATAACAATCAGACAACAATCTCAATTAGCTTTTGGAGAAAGGCTTTTTACTAAAATACTATGGCAAAAAGAGTAGTTACAAAGTATCCTCTTTCCACCCCCCTAAAAAACAACAACCACCACCTGGGGCATACTTTCACACAAAGAAACATAGAGTATGGGGAAGGGTGGGAGTGTGGACATGAAATTAAAGTACAATGGTAATGAGGGTTATATATAAGGGACACACATGGCCAAGGCAACTCACAACTCTAGAATGGCAGGTCTTTGATATTCTTTCTTTCTCTGAAGAGTCCTCTCAAAGTTCACTGTGAGGTGGGACATCAGTGATGGATGAGTCACTCTAGACCAGGCTGGCTCTTCATAGAGTATGCCATTTCAGCTGGACAGATTGCCAAGCTGCCTTCTCACTGGGCTAGGCTACTGCTGACCTGGATTGGGCAGGATTCTCAGCTATTGGACTACTCCTTGCAGACTAAGCTAGGTAATTCATTTGGATTCTGTGCAATGGCTGCTGCTGGACTGAGCCAGTCAGGTTGCTGGACCACTGGGATCTTCACAAGTCTCACACAAATGACTTGTGCATCACCCCATAGTCTCTTTCTTTCTGGTTTCTCTTTATATGTTATCCGTCCTCTTCAGAATGCAAGCAGGAATGGTTTTATTTGCTTCTATTCGTAGCCTCAGTGCTTGGCAGAGAGTTTTGTCATTATCATCTTTCCAACAAAGAAAATGAAAGTAGGAGAAATTAAGTGCACTCAATGTTCCATAGATAGTTATTTATCAGAACTGGCCCTAGAACCCAAATCTCATAGAATAGTGGCTTTTTATTCTTTGCTAATAGCCTTCCTTTCTACACAATGTTCAAATTACAGGGCTCAGTTCTTCAAACCAATATGAGCCAGACTGTCATTCTTAACTCAACAAATGAACAAAAACAATATTTTTGTGTTTAAAAAAAGTGTTGATAAACTGGGTAATGAAGTTAGCCTTTCAAAACATGCTTGCAAGATTAGGAGCAATATACTGCTCAGGTTTCCAATAAGTATGGGCTTTCTCAGTGAGGATTTATTTGCCCTTATCCTTTACTTAATAGTTGACAGCAGGTTAGTCAAGACTAGATATGTCTAAAGATATGTTTGTTGGATTTATCTTTCTTTTTCACATGTTATTTGAAGGTCTGTCTATCTATCTATCTATCTATCTCTATCTATCTATCTATCTATCTATCTATCTATCTGTCTGTCTGTCTGTCTGTCTGTCTATCTATCTATCTATCTATCTATCTATCTATCTACCTATCTATCATCTATCTACATATGCATATATATGTGTGTATATGCATGTATGTATTTTTTGGCCACTATCGAATGGCTTTCATGTCCATGAATATACACCTTCTGGAGTGGGGAAAAACTCTCTCTATTGCACATGACCTTGATTTTATCCTTTTACAAGTTTGTAGCTTTTTGCTCATTTCCAGAAAAGCACTCAGCAGCTATTGATGTTCTTCTGGTTATAGTGACACCCTTCTTGTTTCTGTTCTTTCCCACCCTTGACCTCATCCCAAATAGTACCATATTCAGAACTCCTCCATTGACAAAAAAGTTGTATTGATAGCCTTTTCTTTGTATAACATCTCTGTTTTTCCTATGGACTCTACCTTTGCGAGCCCCACCCCCCAAAGAACCACAACTGTAACAAATATATAAGATATGTTTAGAGTTAAGCAAAACAAAACATGTTGGCCACGTCCAGAAATGTATACCTTATTCTGGACCTCTAGTCCATAAGGTTGGAGGCAAGTGTCACCATCAACCTTCCACAGGACGGATGGACCTGAAATTAGGAAGACCTGAGTTCAAATACTACCTCAGATACTTACTAGCTGTATGACCTTTGGCAAGTCATTTAACTTCTATCTGTCTCAATTTGCCCACCTATAAAATGGGGAGAACATTAGGGGTTGTTGTAAGGATTAAGTGAGATAACATTTCTAGAGCACTTCGCAAATATTGAATTGTTACATAAGCGCTAGCGATCATTATTCTGGTCATGATTGTTTACCACACCGATCAGATTTCAGAAGTTGTCAATGTTGTTCTCTTTTAAATTGTTCTGAATCTTTCATCTTTACTCCAAATGAAAGAAAGATACCTTCCATTTTTAAATAACCCCAGAGAAAGCTTCCTTAAATAAATATACTTCAATTTGTCTTCATTGGAAAGGTTAGAGAATCATAACTATGGAGCTGGACAAGTTCTGGAGGGCAGACACTGTCTTTTGCCTCTTTTTGTATCTCCAACACTTAGCAGAGTGCCTGGCACATAGTAGACATTTAATAAATGTTTATAGATTGATTAGAGCTCATCTAGTGCAGCCCCCTTATTTTACAGATGAGAAAACGCCTTTCACTCTCACCTATTGCTCCCAGGAGAGAATAATGCTTGGAAATCATCCTCATTGTCATCATCATCACCATCATCTCTTTTATCTTTATCTGTTTTGGGGAAGTGGTCATTGAGGAACATTCTTCATATAGACCAGGGGAGAAGGCAGGTAGTGGGCATTTCCTTTAGTCTATCATTTGCCATACTGTGCCCTACCTTAGTGGCCATCCATTGGAAGCTGGTTGACAGAAAACCGCTAGACTTTGACATTCAGGATCTTCATGCCCTAGAGATGTTACATGAGAGTGTTTGAAATAACTGCTTTACCCTTGCATATGTTTTTATAGGAATGTCCATCTCAACTCTCTTCTACAAGGAAATGTAGACTTTTCCAGATTTTACACAACTCTTATGTGCCATTGTTGTGATCATATCATGCTAATCACTTAGTTATATGGGATTTGTTTCCTTGTAAGAAATATTCAGGTCACATGGAGCCTTTCTAAACAATATAAAAAACATGGAAGAATTTGTGACAGAGGTCAACTTTATACTGATAATCAATACATGATTTTAATCCATGGTAGATCAACTCTGTTTAAAGTTCTGTCCCTGAACACCATTAAAAAGACAGATTAAAAAAAGAATGGATTTGCAGAAAAGATGATCAGTATGATTTCTATTCTTTTTCTCTCTTAACAGATGACTGGATATGGTCAAGATGGGGTATTCAGTGGACCTTTGAAACCCATGACATTTTCTGTATCTGAAGGTGAAGAAAAAAATAATCAAGTTATATTTCAGGTAATGACTATTATTAAGTATTGGGTATTAAGGTGTCTCATTTTAGTGAGCCCTGTGACACAGTGGACCTTGATTTCCTTTATCTAACTAAGAGCATAGCCATGCCTGTCTTCTGTCGTTCTTCAATTTATCCTAAAGGACTTGCACTGTTACGTATTGATGATAGAAAGACAAAAACAATGGAGTATTTGCCCTCAAAGAGCTTATATCAGTTTACATTTTAAATGTATTCCTGGGTGCAGCCTATGGAACTCTTCATAAGTTTCCATAAAACCAACAAATTGATTTATATTTACTAATTTTGTTTTTCTTTCCTTCACAGTTTAAGACTGATGCTACCAATGTGAAATTTCAGTTAAGTGGTGAGACAGATGACATTTTTTACATCATCCAGATGGAATACTGTATTATAATGGACTCCTGGATAGAGAAAAGAAAGCTGTCTATGTACTCCAGGTGAGCAGAAACCGTGCCTTGGGCCATATCCTCATCCTTACCACTTGAAGCATTATAAGCAATTCAAGGGGCAGCTAGGTGGCACAGTGGATAGAGCACGGGCCCTGAAGTCAGGAGGACCTGAGTTCAAATTTGGCCTCGGACCAAAAACTTGACACTTACTAGATGTGTGACCCTGAGCAAGTCACTTAACCCCAATTGCTTAAAATAAAAAAAAATAGAAAAAAAATCAACTCAATCATTGGTAAAGAGTTCCTTCCTATTAAACACCAGCTCTTCTGGCCCTGATGGAGTGGTCTGTTAAGACTGATTTCATTTTAAACATATGCAGCCATGTTGTATGTGCCCTACTGTGGAAAAACAGAAGTACCCTCTGTCTCAGACTTTCTGACAAAGAGACTCCTATTCTCGTGATAAAGTCCTTTACTCAGGAATGCTCATCCAAGTGCAGCCATTTTAGTTACCCTGAGAAATCATCTCATACTCCCAGACAAAATCAGTCTATTCTTCCCGTAACCCAATCCTTTCTCATGCCCCACCTTGGTACAATACCATACCTGTCTAGGTATAGCTCTTGAATACGCCAAGGGAGAGTCAGTGTTGGGAGAAGAAGAGTGCTCAGCAATGTAAGGGGTAGAAAGTACAAGCGAAGTGATGTGGGCAAAACCCACATTTTATCCCTTCTCTCCCTTTACTGAAAACTAGGGTAAAAGGTGACACGTGAAACTAACCTATGATGGGAGTATGATACAGGGTGAGACAGGGAGAATTTCAAGCCGGGGCTCAAAGAACTTCATCTTCTCTTCTCTTTTCTTTCCTTCTCTTTTCTTCCTCCCTCCCTCCTTCTTCCTTCCTTCCTTCCTTCCTTCCTTCCTTCCTTCCTTCCTTCCTTCCTTCCTTCCTTCCTTCCTTCCTTCCTCCCTCCCTCCCTTGCTCTTTCTTTCTTTCTTTCTTTCTTTCTTTCTTTCTTTCTTTCTTTCTTTCTTTCTTTCTGTCTGTCTGTCTGTCTCTCTCTCTCTCTCTCTTTCTTTCTTTCTTCTTCTCTTGGCTAACCTAGCTGTCCAGGTCACTTAGCATTTTTGGCATATTGCAAAGAACATGAAAAAGAGAAACTCTGTATATCAACCCCATACTTAATTAGCTGTGTCAGGCCTCTCCTGCATCTCAGTGTACAGAATAAAGAAAGACAATTCAGACTTTACCTACTTCTTAGGGTTGCTGTGAGGACCAAATGAGACAAAATATATCAAGCACCGTACGCTTTGATGCTTCTGTGTATCCGTGATTGCATTGTTGGGCATAGTCCTTCCAATGTAGACAGCTACCTTTTCATGTCTTCTCATTCTGGCTGTTTCTTGTCCATTTTCTTCTATATAACCTCAAATGAGGAGATGTTGAAAATCCGCAGAGACCAGGGCAGCATTCAAATTGACTACCTGCAATTTAAATTGTTCTTATAGTTCAAAGTCCGGGTGAAACATGTTGCCATATTACTGCTGCTGCTACTACTATTGTTACCACTGTTGCTATTACTACTAATATTGTTATTAGTGCTATTGCTGCTGCTACTGTTCCTACTACTGCCGCTCCCACTACCATTACTGTTGCTGTTACTATTACTCCTACTCTCTGTTTTTAGAGAAAACTCCCATAATACCATGCTCCAAGTGCTACCAGTTGCAATAATCCTGGCCAATAAAAATTGTTAAATAGCATTATTTATTTTTATTTTGCAGATTCCATTAGAGTCAGCCTATCACAGTAGTAGTCAATCCCATAACGAATAATGAGATCTCTACTGCCATAGAAGTTGTAGTTATTTTGATGGAATCCTCAGATTTTCTGCTATTTCACTAGTTCCAACCTCTTTCCTATGATTTCTAGGCATATCACCCCAGCTCAAAGGTTTCTTACCAACCTTCCACAGTCATTGAGAAGCTCAAATGAGGCAGCATGTAAAATTCTTTGCAAGCCCTAAAGTGCTATATAAATGCTATCATCATCATGATCATTATTGTTAATGTTATTTTAAACATTTCCTTTCAATGTCAGGTAGAAGTCTTGGATGCTGGAGGGAACCAAGTAGAAGGCCCAGTTCCTATCACAATTGAAGTTCAAGATATTAATGACAACCGTCCTGTCTTTCTCCAGACACAATACAATGGAACTGTAAGGCAGAATTCACGCCCAGGTAATAGATAGGGACGATGTGAGGCCTGGGAAGCCACAAAAATGGAAAAGAGGGGGAGGAAAATTCATTTCAATCCAATTCAGGTCCTGGCCACCATGATGGGTACTGAGAGACAAAAACAAAAAAGAGAGAAGTCTCTGCCCTCAAAGAGCTTACCTTCTCTTAGATAGTAGGGGATGGAGTGAGGAACAACGCATTCATTAATAAGTAAATGCAAAATGTATGCAAGATTAGTACAAAATAATTTCAGAGGTGAAGGGCCCCTAAAAACTGGAGGAATCAGAGCTGGCATCCTATAGAAAGAGGCCCTTGAGCTGAATCTTAGAGGCAGCTGGGGATTATAAGCAGTAGAGGCAAGGAGGCTTGGGCCAAAGAGGATCTTTAGGTTTGGCATTGTGAATTGCTCAAGCAAACAGTACTCTACTAATTCAGTGATAATTTTCCTCTTCTGGATGATATTCAAAACACACCAGCAATATTATACTTCTATAAGGTGTTGCACTAGCTTCCTGCCTCCTTCAGAGCAGCCATTTAGGAAACTCTTGTCAGATGAATGAATGAACCAGATTCTCAACCGGAGGCTGATGACGTTACATATTTTCTTGTTGGTTTCGCTACACAGGAAAGCCCTTTGTGTATGTCAATGCTACAGACCGGGATGATCCCACCACTCTCCATGCCCAGCTTTTTTATCGAATTGCTGTCCAGCTTCCCAAGATAAATGATGTGATGTATTTTCAGATAAACAACAAAACAGGTGGAATCTCCCTTACCCAAGCAGGTATGTAAAGGATGCAAGCTGTCTTTTCCCCATGCCTCAAAAAAATTGAAGTGTGAATACTATATAATTATCCCCCTCCCCCAGGGGTCACACAAAATCAGCAAAGTGGACACAGTGACACCCTCTTGTTGTTTCTCCCCTTCCCTCTTTTCCAGGGTCACAGGAATTAGATCCATTTAAGAATGCACGTTATGACCTCGTGGTTTCTGTGATGGACATGGGAGGTCAGACAGAAAATTCTTTCAGTGATACTGTACCTGTGAATATTGTTGTGGAAGAGAACATTTGGAAGTCACCAGAGACTATCATTGTTAAGGAAAACTCTACTGAGCCTCATCCTATCAAAATCACTCAGGTAATAGTAGTGGTAGCTAACATTTATATAGCTCTTACTATGTGAAAGATACCATGCTAGGTGCTTTACAAACTTCATCACATTTGATCCTTACAACAACCCTGGGAGGTAGGTGTTTTAATTATCCCTATTTTATAGAAGAGGAGTTAGAGGTTGTGACTTGCCTAGGGTCACATGGCTAGTAAGTGTCTGAGAACAGATTTAAACTCAGGCCTTCCAGACTCCAGGCCCAGCACTCTATTCACTATGTCACCCAATCGTTGCAAATATACCATTAGTTCCCTCTTCTGTTTTTTTTTTGAGGGGGGGGATTGGCAATAGGGTTAAGTGACTTGCACAGGGTCACATAGCTAGTTAAGTGTCAAGTGTCTCAGGCTGGATTTGAACGCAGGTCCTCCTGACTCCAGGGCCAGCACTCTATCCATTGTGCCACCTAGCTGCCATGAGTTTCTTCTTCTCCATATACAGAGGCTTAATCTCCTTGTCACCTTCAATGAAACAACATGAATTGAATATACTTTTGTGCATAGAAAAAGAAAGAAAAAGAAAGAAAGAAAGAAAGAAAGAAAGAAAGAAAGAAAGAAAGAAAGAAGAGAGAGAAAGAAAGAAAGAAAGAAAGAAAGAAAGAAAGAAAGAAAGAAAGAAAGAAAGAAAGAAAGAAAGAAAGAAAGAAAGAAAGAAAGAAAGAAAACAGGCAAAACATCAAAGTAAATGAACCACATATTGTCTTTGCCCTTTTGGATATTTATACACTATAGCACAGGTAAGCTCTGAGGTCCTGATCCCAACTCTCACTCCCCCTGATAAGTCAGGTCTGCAGGACTTCTGAGTTCTAGGGAGTACTCCTGAAGAGTTTGGAGGAGGGGATAATTCTCTAATGCCATTGGCTCAAGGCCTGACTGGTGTGCTTTTCCCCAAGATTACTGAGAATCAATTGAGTCAGCCAGACTTTTAGAGTAGATTTTAGGAAGTCAAGTAGTTTTTAGAGATAGGTATTTGCTAATATGATGTAGTAATAATAGCTGGAACAAAACATCATCTCCACTACCCCTAATGTCTGAGATGTACTTCCCCAAGATTCCAGAGCCCAAGAAAAAGTGAGCTTAAGCTTAAAGAGCACATGTGGCAAAATGGATGGCTTATAGCTCTTGGTTAATGGAAGTTACTTTCTCCCATTCGTGGAGTGCTCAGGAAGCTCTCTCATGATATATTGAGTTTGCTCTTGGTTCCCAATGCAGCTATTTCCATGATCTGATCCAGTGATATTGTTAGGATATTAATGGGAGGATAGAGAATCTAGCATCTGTTGCCCTTTTGAAGCTCAAAAGGTCCTCCTCTTACCATAGAGGAATAGAGAATGAGACTTGACTAAGACCTCTGTCTCTCTACTTTTCTCTCCTTACTTCTTCCCCTTGTGATGCCTCTTCAGAGTGTGCTGGAAAGCCATACTTGCTCCAATTTTCTGTAATTCCTGGAACTTGATATTCCAGAGGGTAATGAAACCTCCTAGTCAGACTTCTTATCTGATGTCATTTGACTTGATCAGATGGCTTTCCAAGACTTTCATATTTAGCCTAAAGGGCTATGATTGAGAGGGACTGATCACTTGCTTCAAGTAGGATGCAATTTGATTGAGTAAATAGCACATTGCTGAGCTTTATACTCTAACATGGTACCATTATCTGCGTGAGAGCATGTCCATTTCACACAATACGTACCTGCTGATGATGCTTTGATTTTTTTTACCTCAATTTCAGATTAGAATTATGTTTATTTTAAGCCCATTGTCTTTGTTTTGGACATGGCACCCTGAATATGACTCTGATCTTGTCAAGGGATAAGGTCTATAGATAAGACTGACTGAGAGTAGAATTGTGAAATGAGCATTTTTTCAAAGTTCTCTCACTTGGTTTTTTGTAAGTCTCTCCATGTTCTAGGTACCAGCATCTACTCTACCTGTCTCGTGTCTTCATGCTGCCCCTGAAGTTATCCAGGATCCCATTATGTGATCCCTCTCCCAGATTTGCCTCCCTTTGGAAGTGATTCCTAGTCTCCAAGCTTCAGTCAATGAACTCAGAGGGAGGGGTTGAGATAAGCCAAATAAATCACCAACAATTTGAGTATTAATGTGTTACTTGTCTCAGTGGAATTTGCCAGGTAATTGGAGAGAATAAGTTGGTAACAATGACAGAAAGAACAATAATTAGTCCAGCAACTCTTTTGAGTAGATGACACATTTCAAGTCTCATGGCTAACAGAGCAGCCTTGCTATTGAATTTTCTTGACCACTTCAAAAAACCTCCAGAATTTGGCATGCACCTTATCCCTAATGTTCTCAAGACTAAACATCTTGGGGAGGGATTTACATTATTTACAGATCCATTAGCTTCCTTAAACATCTCCCAGGAGAACAGTTCAAAGTGTCCTCTGGTTTTTTTTTTTATTCGTCTTCTGTGGTGAATTTTGGAAGCTTGTAGTAAGTCAATGCTTCAATCCTTAAATTTTGCCTGTCACAAAGAACATTTTGTCTCTTATATGGATATCAAATGAATATGAATCCTTGAACATCAGTTAGAGTTCCAAGAGAAAGGAGTGAGGTGGAGGGGAGACAGGGCAAATATTACATGTTTTAGATAGGTCAGATAGTAATGTTTTGCAAGGGGAAAATGCTTCTGAAAATGCATCCATCCCTGCTTTTGTAACAATTCAACCTTGAAAGGTGAAAACTTTTCTTAAGTCAGCCAACTAACATTTATTAAGTGCCTACTACGCACCAGGCAACTGAGCTTAGCGCCAGAACGTCTTCGGTTGGAAGTTAAATGCTCGATTGTACACATGTATAGACATATATGCATGAGTTGTTACATACACACAAAGCCATAAGTATACCACAGCTGTTCAATTTTTGAAGAAGCTAAATAATTTAGGCAATAAAGAAGTATTTGTTACTAGTGTCTGTTATGGGCTAAGCAATGTTCTAGATGCTTGGGGACACAAAAACAAAGATGAAAACAGTCCCTGCCCTCATGGAGCTTACACTCCATAGGAAGGGACATCACATTCAAATATTCATGTGCACAAAATAAAATACAAAGTAAATACAAGGTAGTTCAAGAGGGAGGGCACCAGCAGTTGAAGGGATCAGGAAAACCTGTGGGTAGAAAAATACTTGACACAACAAAGCTGTAGCTTTTCAGATTTAAGAGGTGAGATAGTGTGATGGAAACAGTGCTTTATTTGGATTGAGTCAGGGAGTTTGGCATTGAATCCTGCCTGTGCTGTTTGATACCTATGCTACCTTAAACAAGTCACAAGCCCTGCCTGGGCCTCAGCCTTGGGCTAGATGGCCTTTAAGATCTCATACATCTGTAAACTGATGAACTTTTGCTTGCACTTCACAAACTATCTCTTGTTATTTGGGGGACTCTAGGTGCAGTGGAATGATCCAGGTGCCCACTACTCCTTATTTGAAAAGGAGGCACTACCTCAATTCCCATTTTCAATTGACCATGAAGGAATTATCTATGTGACACAACCCTTGGATAGAGAAGAAAAGGACTCGGTAAGTAACCCTGAAATGGCCATCAGTGGCAAGACATGGTCTTAGCCAGGTGCACAGATGATAACAACAGTAATTTTTATTAAAAAAAAAATCTATTTCCAATAAACAACTAAGTGACCCATTGGGTGGAGTTTTGGACTTGGAATCAGGAAGATATGATTTCAATTGTCTGACTTCAAACCTTAAATGATTACAACCTATGTGACCCTGGGAAAGTCACTTAATTTTTCTTAGCCTCAGTTTCTTCATCTGTCAAATGAAGACAGTGCCATTGTTGTAAGACTCATCAAGGAAAACATAGGTAAAGTGCTTTGCAAACCTTAAAGTACTGTATAAATGCAAGTCCTCCTCCTCTTCTTCCTCCTCCTTCTTCTCTTTCTTCCTATTCTTTTTTCCTCCTTCTCTTTTTCCTCCTTCTCTGCCTCCTTTTTCCTTCTTAACCTCATTCTTCCTCCTCCTCCTCATAGCATGATATCTACTTTCAACAAGCATGTTTCTTTTCTTCAAAACCCAACATTTTCATTTCCCCTCCCTGTTCTCCATGTCTAAGAAAACAGCACCCAAATGGATAAAAAGAAATAGTCGTTTACTTTGCTTTTCAGGGTGAGATGTAGGAATGAATTTTGGATAAATTTTATCCTGACTGTAACTTTCCTGTTTCAGTATGTCTTCTATGCAACTGCAAAGGATGACAACGGACAACCCCTAGCAAGACCATTAGAAATTCATGTTGAAGTTACAGACATTAATGATAATCCCCCTGTTTGCCCTGCTTCAGAGACAGTATTTGAGGTCCAGGAGAAAGAGAAAATAGGTAAGGAATGACTATGTTATTTTCAAAAGGAAAATCTAATTCCGTGGTCCCTGCTGAGCTATTTGCTGTTTCCATTTACAGTTTCACATCTATGGGGAAAACAGAGTAGTAGAAATGTACTTGTAGTAGAAGATGGAGTAAGATTCTGGTCTTTTTAAAATATAGTTGGTCTTTCAGTAACTCTAAAATATTTAAATATTTTAAAATGCTTTTATTGATATCTTTTGACTTTACATCAGCTTGTATTATTTTTTGCATTATGATGTTCAGGTTTTTTGACTTGTCATATTCTTCTGGGAGACCTGTAATCCTTAAGTTGTTTCTGTGCATTCTGTCTTTGAGATCAATGTATTTTACTTCTATGGAGAACGTGCTTTCTTTTAATCTTATTACTTTTTGCTTCTCTTTTTCCAATCATTCAACCAACCAATGTTTATTAAGCTATGTGCAAGGTATTGTGCGAAGTGCTGGGAATACAAAAAAAGACTATATACAGGGTAAATAGGAAATAATTAATGAAGGAAGATACTAGAATTAAGGTCATCCTTCTAGATTGTCCTTAACTTGCACGTCTCACTTCCTTTGTATTCTCAATCAGTTATCCTCTCTTTTGCATCTTTGGTGAGATTTGCCACCACAGATTCAAATTTTTCTATTCTGCCAATTATTCCTGCTATGCAGGACATAAATTCTATTCTCATAATTATTATTTCTCTTTTAAACCATTTAGGAATATCATTCTGTGGTTCTTTGCTTTCTTCAGAATTGACAGGGTCTTCTGCCTCATCAGGTGTTGAATCATTTTCCTTATCTTGCAAGATTTATTCATAGAAGCCTAAAATCTCTTATTAGCTCCAGAGGCCACCTTTCCTACTGCTGTTAATGTCTTCCCTATTGGTTCAACTGCTTTTGTTCAAGGTCTTTAAATTGTCTTCCTACCGAGATCTTTGGCAATTTCAGCCATTTCATTTATTTTCCCCTGTTGCTCACTTTCTGATTCAGTCTCCTCTTGTGGCAGTTTCCCTAGAGGCTGGATCTCAAAGCATCTCAGCCTCCTTGCACACTGGTTCACAGTTCAGTAGCCTAGGTCTCTGCTCCAAATAACTTCTGGAGTGACCAAACTGGCCCCAGCTGAATGCTGGGCTCTTTCTGTCAGGTTTAGTGGAATGTCACACAGCCTTTTTCCCTCTCCCTCCCATGTATTCTACCCCGATTCCTTTTATTCTTTGACCCAATGATGCCGATCACTTTCATGCACTATTACAGCCTGAGAAAATTTCTACCATTTGGAATTTAGATCTCTATGGCACTAGAGGTGTGAGTCAGCACGTAGAATTGTGTTTTATTATAAGATTGGACACATACCCTGCCTTGTTCCCTCTCTTCTTCCATTCAGGATGAGCTCTGTTGCAGCACAGAATGTTACCACTGGGGCTATCACAGCCTGAGAAAATTTTTGCCACTTAAAGTTTGGCTCTCTGAGGCCCTGGGAATCTGCATCTGGGACGGAACAGGGTATAGAGTTGAATCCTGCTGTGGATCAGCTTGTGTGGACTTCCTGCTGGGATTGTGGTGGAAAGTGGGGAAAGAAGTGCTGAGTCAGTCCTCATTAGGGGTTAGGACATAATCCCTAATGTCTCATGCCTTCTCTGCTGTTAATTCATTGAATTTTTACCTTGTTTTTTCTTAGTGTCCTTGACTATGGCAACCGCTTGAAGTTGATTTATTTCTGTTGCAAATTCCTATTTTGTGGAGGTATGAGAGGATTAGAGAAAATGTCTAATCTTCCATCTTGTTGGTCACTTGATTTGGAAGTCCCAAGCTAATTTTCAATATTTTTCAAATACATATTGGTTCAACTCAGTTTCACATTTTCTTTGGTATCCAGCATTTTTATAGGTAAAGTAGATTGGTTTTCTGCCCAAGAGACACTCCAACTGACTCATTCCATCTTTTCTTCTCCACAGGCAGCAATATTGGAGTTTTCCAGGCCTATGACATGGATCAGAAAGACACCGTTAACAGTTTTTTATATTATTCAATTGTGGAACAGAGTCCCTTGCTTCCAAGTGATGGTCTCTTCTATATTCAAAATGTTGATGGAATTATCCAGTTAGCTAAAGGATCCTTAAAAAAGCAAGACCAACCTCAGTATCATCTGAAAGTGCAAGTGGCAGATCTAGGTTAGTGCCTTCTGACCCATAAATCCAGAAGAGAATTCAGAGGGTGTTTCCTGTGTTGACTTCTGGTTGGGGTTGGTTTGTATTCCTTGTCACATTTGCTCTGTGACTTTTTTTTTAATCACTGAAGGGCTCACAACATAAATGCTATCCTCAGGGCCCAGGAGAGAACGTGAGCAAAAAGTCAATCACTTCCCCTTCTGGTGTAGGAAGTCCTTCCTTTGTGAAGAAAGAGGAAAGTTAGGCTTCTCTTTGCTGACCTATTCTCTTTTTGCAGACCAGTACCAAACTTTAGTGGAGAATTCCCTGGCTTAAATATAGCAGCAGAGAAATTCTTCTCTCCTCAGCATAAACAAGAAGAGGGTTCTCCTCTCTATGTTTACTACTGCTGTCTCACCATTTCCTGAATCCAATTCTCCTCCTTATGCCATTAAATTCAAATTGTATAAATGGGAAATGTGTATTTATTATAGACCTCCCCCAGGTATTGAGTGGAATCTGTTCTGACTATGCCCAACATTCAGAAAACCTGAGAGCCAATCAGTTTGTCAATCACCCCAAACACTTTTGCATTTAAAGAGAACTTACAGAAAGTTAACAGTGTGCTAGACACCAGAGGAACACAAAATAAGTAAGGGTAAGACAGGCCACCTGAATGCCTGTTGGCAGTGGAGTTCTGTTAGTTTCTGTACCTTTGCAGTCTGGATGTTCCTTAATGATTTGGGCAAAGGGATTTTCAGCAGAGGTTTTAGTTGACATTGCTTTGTTTGATTTTCAGCTTTCAAGACAATCTGTAACGTGACAATAAACATTATTGATATCAATGATCAAATCCCCATTTTTGAAAAAAATGATGTGAGTATTTGCTGGACCCTATCTTTTTCCTTACTGGCTGACAATGATTTTTGGAACAAAATGTGGCATGAAGAAACATTCTGAAGCCACACACACATGCACACACACACACACACACACACACACACACACACACACACACACACGAGAGAGAACCCAGATATAGAGGCGAACTGTAGTAAAAACATCAGGAATACATGCATTCCTTTCAGTGGAAAAATCTAGTGATCATTCTTTTTTGATAAACAGTACAAGTACAAGCTCAAACCGGGCATGGTGGTACATCCTTTTAATCCCAGCTGTTGGAGAGGTTGAGGCTAGAAAATCTCTTCAGTTCAAGAGCTGTGAATGGTAGTGGGCAATGACTATTGGGCATCTGCACTAAGTTTAGCATCAATATGATGAGCCCCCAGGAGTGGGGAACTACCAGGTCATCTGGAGAGAGGTAAACCAACTCAAGTTAGAAACAGCAGATCAAAATTCCAATGGCATTGGGCCTTCTAATTCCAGCCTAGTGGAGATGGGGAAACTTAGTCCTAAAAAACTAAACTGAACTAAACTCAAATACATTCAAGTAGAATCCCATTCTGCTAAATACTATTGTGTCACGCAAGGAAAGATTCTAGTCACTATACTAGAATTTTGATCCAGTTATTGCACAGACTACTTGATAATACAAAAATCTACCATAATTAAAGGACAAGAATAATCACTTGAAGTTTGTTATAGATTTTTGGTGTATATTGAAATATGTAATTTGTCAACATGTTTTGAACAAGCATGTTTAATGCAAATTAAAATAAGTGGAATAGTCTTGATTGAATTGATTGATCTTTTAGAGACCTTGATTGCAAGAATAGCATCTATACAATGGTAAATAAGTGCATTTGGCTTTGAGAATCACTGTAAATTGTGGTAAAAAAATAATTCTTCCTATAGAACATTGGCAGTTTAAGCCCTTTTGCCAACAACAATTATAGGAGAGAGGAAAAAATAAAGGAAAACAATAATCTTATGGCTTAAGATAAAATAAACTATCCATAAAACAAAGAAGGGAAAACAAATTTAATGCTTCTAGAAAAATATAGATGATCATTTTTATTGTTAGTAGATTTGAAACTCGCTAGTGGTTTTATTCAACATTTCATTGAAATGAATTGTTGAAACATTACTTAAGAAAACTGTTTAGGAGCTCATTTGGCTAGATTCTGGGGTTATATTTGAACATAATTCTTTAATAAATGACTGGAAGATCAATCAAACAATTCAACTTATTAATAACTAAAAGTAGTTTTAAGTTTTTGAGAAGTTTGGGAGTGTTTAGAGATATAACAGAGTTGATTGTAGACTAGGCACAGAGGATATACAAATACAAAATAAATAGAACTTTCAGTCTCATTGAGTGTCCAACCATTTGAGTTCTTTGTTCCTTTTTCTAGCAAATGACAGACCTAGGATTTGGATTGAGATTCTTAGACTGGATATGTAGCATTTTTATTTTTATTGTTCTACCTTACCATCAGTTATGTTTCTTGTCTTCTGAAACTAGTGAGGCAAGTTTTTCACTTGGGAATTAGTAGACTTGTTATAATCCAAACTTCAGCTAAACTGAACTCCCCATCACCTGATATTTTTATGCTTTTTGGGCCTTTGCTCTTGCTGTTCTCTATGTCTAGAATTCTCCATCACCATCTCTGCCGATTGAAACCCTACCCAACCCAGCTCAAATAATATCTCATTCCTGATCCTCCCTGTCAGAAATGATACTTCCTTCCTAACTTATATCACAGCTAGCACTTTGTTTCTCTCATGAACCTATAGTATTGTTTGCTTCATAGTTACTGCAGAGTTGTTACATATTCATTGATGTACTATATTTCCCCTAACAGAGTGTAAGCTCTATATATATTGTGATCATATCAATCATATTTCTGTTTCTCCCAGGACCTAGGACACTGCTGTGTAAAATTTGGTGCATAATAAATGGTTGTGGAATGACTGAATTAGTGAATGAATATAGTATCTTCTCTCATGTTTACTATGAGCATTCTTATATCTTTGTCTTTCTTTTTCATCTAGTATGGCAATCTGACTATTGATGAAAGTGTTGCTGTTGGAACAACAATTCTCACCATCCAGGCTACAGATGGGGATGAACCATTTACTGGGAGCTCCAAAATCCTGTATAATATTGTCGAGGGGGACCCTGATAGAAAATTTGTGATCGACACTGATCCCTTGACTAATGCAGGATATGTCAAGATAGATAAGGTGAATGACCCATTTTAACAAGATCCATTGTTGTTTATGACTAAATAGGTCCATTTGTTTATTGTACTAAGAGGAAATATAGTGTCATGTGAAGAATGGAGGATTTGGCTTTAGCAGGCCTGAGTTCACAGAGTTTACAGTTCACGGTATGTGATCACATACGACCAAATCCAAATTACTTACCTTCTCTGAGCCTCAGTTTCCTCATCTTTCAAATAGGGATATTAATACTTGCGTAGCCTACCTTTGCTACAGTGTATTACAGATCTTATGGTACTAGATACGTGAGTTGTGATTGTGAAGAACTGTGATTCACAGAAGACCTGCATCATGGGGATGTCTTCATTGCAAATCAGTATTGCAAAGTCTGAATGCAGATATGAATAATTTTAAGTGTGTGCATAGTAGTGTCCACAGAATCCAAATTTAGATGTTGTCTGCAGTGCTATGCATGAAAAAGGATAGGCCTTACCATTAGTTCTGGGTATGACTTCTCTAACTAGCTGAAGAATGCTGGTAGCTAAGGGGAAATTTCAGAACATTCTCTCCAAGACAGGATAGACTAGCCTGATGGTCAACTCTCATTGTAAGCCACTGATCTACCAGGGGATCAGATAGTCAAGGACCAAGTTCTGATTGCCTTTGTTAAAGTATCTGTAAATTGGCAGAACCCCACAAGGTAACCTTATTCTTCAGGGCATACAGAAGACATGACATAACTATATTGGACCAGTGACAACGATCCAAATTGAGACATACAATTCAGAAAACCAGGAATGAGGGCCAGGCTCCTAGACACTAAAGGGATAGGAAGCCTCAGTGACCTAAATCCTATATTTATTTTCAGTCAACTGGTCCAGAGACGCAGTGCACACCAAGAGTGGGTTGCTAGTTCCCAAAGCAATAACCACTCATTGGTGGACTGTTCTTTTGAGAAGTCTTCTTGTGCTGCCACAAGGCCCAGGCACTGGGATGACTAATGAGCCAACCCTTTCAGCACCATAGTTAGCAAGCTTGATCAGAACTATGGACTTTCTATAGTTGCTGTCACTGTTGTGATAAACAAGTCTCCTGACTTCTCTTGAATTTTGTTTCCTCATCTGCAAAATTACTGTTGTTGTTTGTCCCTTGTTTTCGAAGAAGACCAATGACATCATGGGCGATGTCTTGACTTGCATGTGAATTGGATTTAAGCGAGGCAGAGTTGCACAAGGTTGTCAACCTCACTCTTTCTTCCAGAATCATAGACATCCAGTGGCAGGACAAAAGTCAAGATGTCTGACAGTGGCCTAGGATGCAAAAGATGATCTTGGCATCTTTGATGTCTAACCAAGCTTTAAGCGCTCCACAGCGCCTGCTTCAGTCACCTTCGTGGCCAATAGAACAAACTGTTCTCATCCACCCCTTCCACTGGGGAAATTTTCACATGCTTGGGGTAGACATCCTCCTAATTCATCCAACCTGGTTTAGTGAGATAGTTTACCAGGGTGTGGCTATTGTGCATGCTACAGCTTCTTAAAGCCACAGGTCAGAGTTGAGTGAATCAGGTAGACAACAAAGGTGGATGAGCAGCCCTGCAAAGGACTGGCAAGCCCTCACACCACCAGAAGTGTGAACACCTCATATACTCCACCAACCAACCAATACAGAAAAAAGATGACAGTACTAGAAATCATCAATCCACTGAGAGCCAGGGGGCTTACCGAATAGGCATCAGGAGCAGGAAGATGTTATGATCCTTGTGAGTTTGCCCACAAACCTCTTGAAATTTCCCTCTCCCACTAAACCTGCAGAACTATCAATAAGGCCATATCAGGATGCAGTGTGTGGTACAGAATGATGCATTTAGTTTCTATACTTATTAGCTAATAACAGATTGCTTAACCTCTCTGAAAACTCAATTTCCTCACCTAAATGGAGGTGATAATAATGTTCAATTTCCCCATTAGTAAAGTGGGAACAATAATTGCCTATTTCACAGGTTATATTATGCTTTGGGCTTTCACTCATTCATTCAATGGGGCAGCTAAGTGGTACAGTGGATAGAGCTCCAGACCTGGAGTTGGGAAGACCTGAATTTCAAATTTGGGCTCAGACACTTACTAGCTGTGTGACCCTGGGCAAGTCACTGAACCCTGTTTGTCTCAGTTTACTCATCTGTAAAATGAACTGGAAATGGAAATAGCAAACCACTCTAGTATCTCTGCCAAGAAAACCCCAAATGGCATCATGAAGAACCAGACAAAACTGAAACAACTGAACAACAACAACAAACACCCACTATGAGCCAGGCACTCTGCTAGGTGCTGAAAATATGAAGAAAACCACAACAAAATAGTCCCTGACCTCAAGGAGCTTACATTCTATGGGAGTGGGTGGGGTAGATGGGAAAAACATGTTCAGATAACCAAATACAAAATACTTACTAGAAAAGAAATAATTTTGGGGGCAGCTAGGTGGCACAGTGGATAAAGTACTGGCCCTGGAGTCAGGAGGACCTGAGTTCAAATCCAGCCTCTGACACATAACACTCTCAACCCGTGGGACTCTGGGCAGCTCACCTAACCCCAATTGCCTCAAAAAAAAAAGAAAGAAATAATTTTGGAGAAGAGGCACTAGCCACTGAGAGATCAGGATAGGTTTCCTACAGGTGGTGAAGCTCATAAAATTTTAAAGTGAAACATAAATGTGTTGCAATTATTATTATAATAATTATCAGTAATCATTTTTCCAATATATTTGATTCCTTTTGAGTTTTCATTGTATTTCTTAGGATCGTGGGATTTTAAAGTTGGGTGAAATTTTTTTAAAAGCAATTTTTTTTTGTTTTTTGTTTTGGTTAGGCAATGGGGTTAAGTGACTTGCCCAGGGTCACACAGCTAGTAAGTATTATGTGTCTGAGGCTGGATTTGAACTTAGGTCCTCCTAAATCCAGGGCCGGTGCTCTATCCACTGCACCACCTATGTGCCCCTAAAAGCAATTTTTGGATGAGATTTGAGAGGTCTTTCAGTCCAGTGCCTGCCTATTTTCAGCCAGCTATGTCTATAAAAGCAGTGATCATGCTTTTCATTTTGTCACTTCTCAATCGTGGGAAAAGGTTGACAAATGGCAGAGTACCAGAATCAGAGCAAATTCCTGGAGGACATTGTTTGTCACACCTCAGGTGACTCTGGGCCATTAATTATAATGACTGAATTGGCCTTTCAAACACCTGGGTTCAGGGCAGGAACAAGACCATAATTTTGCTTTTTACGCAGAACTGAAAACAAAGTCTTCCTACAAGGTCAGGATAGATTGTCTCTCTAGGCCGCCTTGCCCAGGCCTGTTCTTCACAAAGTCATGCTGATTGTCCCTTGGTGCCTTAACCTCTCAAACTCCAATGTGTTTTGTGTTACGTGTGTATGTGACTTGTTCCAGAATTTTTCCAGGTGTGCAAGTTAAGCTGACAAGTTCATCCATTCCAGGACTGGTGTTTTTTTTTTCTGTTTTAAAAACACAAATCATAGGTCATGTAACCCTTACCAGAGTTTCTCCTACTCTGATAAGTCTCAAATACAAATTTTATGATTTGCCACATTGTTTTCACATGTGGACCTGTACCCACTATCTTCTCTATTTGATCCCAAAAGAAATTCAAAGTACTTTAATTGGCAACCTTTGACAGAGTGGTTCAGAGACAGAAAGGCAAAAAGGACCTGTGATTTCATTACCAAGAGAGAAGTACTGGTATGGCAGCTACACTTGCTTTCGGTCACACAGCCAGTATGTGCAGGAAGCCAAGCCCAGAACCCTATCCACCATGACTTACTGTCTCTTGACTTGAATGCTGGTAATTAAATCTTATTAAATTAGAACTTTGTTTCATGGACTTCATTTTCCCTTTAAAATAATTTAAAAAGTTAATTGTGGCTTCTTTACCTCAGTTTCCTCATCTATAAAATGAGAGGCTTAAATTGGGTGACCTCTAAGTTCTCTTCCAACCCTAGGTTCTCAAAGGTTATTTCAACAAAACACAATCTCTACTAGGTCCTAATAAGTTGTAAAGGTTTCCATTACTGCCGTAGAGATGAACTGTAGAGGGGCCATCCAATGGCAAGGCTAGCTAAGTTCAGAGAGATGCAGGGTCATGAATTTTTTGGCAACTCCAAAAGACCATCTAACCAATGTATAGAGGGGTTGCAATCTGTGTTGGTAGGGGGTATACCTATGTCCATGAAATTATAGGTCCCTGAAGTTCACTGTGAGTACCTCTTAATATAGGTGGTGTTTTTTTTTTTAAGTAAGCATGATGTGACCAATCCTGATTGTTACAGTGGGACATGGTATACTATCAATGAACTTTTCCCATTTTTCATCTCCTCAACAGTCCCTCATGAGTTCTCAGAAATGACATGACACGGTTCCTGCTTATTAAGTAGTGTCCTAAGGAAATGAATCCCCGAATAACTTGAGAATCTTATATGATAAGTATACTGTTGTGTGATATTTTTGAAGGGAGCAAGGAGATTACGAATCTTTCTAAGGGTAGTCAACTGGCAGAAAATATGAATTAACTTTTTTTTTGTTGCTTGTTTCCCAACAGCCTCTTGATTTTGAAACAGTGCCAATATACTATCTTGTGATCAAGGCTGAAAATCCCGAGCCACTTGTGGATAATGTGCAGTACAATTCAAGCTCCTATGCAAGATTTATTCTTCGGGTGTCAGATGTGAATGAGCCTCCTCTATTCTCCCAGGCATTGTATGAAGCACAAATATCTGAAGATGCTGAGATAAACAACAAATTGATTACAGTGAATGCCACTGATCCCGAGGGAGAGGCAATAAGGTAACAAATAGCCCTCCTTACTCTAGGTCACATTCATTCATTTTAGCGGAAGAGACCAAAGAACAGTTTGGGACAGGAACAAGTCTTCCCACACAAAATAAATAGGCAGAACATATTCTTTTCGATCTGATCAGATATACTGTGACTAGTTTGATCCATTTTTAAGGAAATTAAATTAGCTGATTGTTTATCACCTAGCAGGTACCTAGATCATGTAGAAAGTAGATTGCTAGACTTGCAATCAGGAAGATCTGAGTTCAAATATGGCTTCATAAAATTACTGGCCAGATAACCCTGGACAAATCACTTCACTTTAAAATGTCTCAGTTTCCTCATTATTCCTCATAATATGAGACTCTATTTCCCAGGATTGTTGTGAAGATTAAAAATGAGATAATATTTGTAAAGCAGTTTACAAATCTTAAGGTGCCATGTAATTTCTGACTTATTATATCTGCATAAGATAGTAGCTTACACTTTTATAGAATTTTCACACGGATGATCTCATTTATGCCTTACACTATTCCTATCTAGCGAGCATGATTGCCCCTGTTATATAGATGAGAACTCATTGGCTAAATCACTTTCCCAAGATCACTCGGGTATGAAGTGGTAGGGCTGGTTCTAAAACCCAGGTCCTAATTTCTAAGTGGCCTTCCCATTATTGCTTATTGCTTCTGACTGTAGTACCAAGGAACTTCTATGATGCTCCTATTCTCTGGCCTATCTTCTGCTAATAAGCCCTGGGGTTCACGGGCTCTGTCTCTTGATTTGTTATGTTCACTGTCCCATTCTCTCATCCTGGATTCCTGTTGTAAAGGCGTTTTCTTTCTCAAATGTAGTAACGATGGAATGATGTTAACAGCCTTGGAATCTGCCAGTTAATCTTGACTAGGTTGTGAATATTTTCCACCTCTTTTTGAACCTGTTTCTCACCCTGTCTCCAGGTTTGGGTCCTCCTGACTTCTGGAAGGCATTTTTGCCTTGGCTGAACTTCTAAAAGTTCCTCCCACAGATTTTAGACTAACAACAATCTTTCTTCACCGTGTCCTAAAAGAGTAAATGTCTCTCGGCCCCTTTGCTTTGGCTTTTTAGATGATAAAGACTCTTTTAGATGAGAAGGTTCCCCTTTCCTTATGTATAAAATAAGAGGCTTGAATTGAATGATTGCTGAAGCTCCTCCTGGCTTGAAATCCAGTGATCCTAAATATTACCATATACATGGAAGATAATCTGGGGTAAAGGGAAGCTAGGTGGCACACTGGAGTTGGAGTCAGCAAGACTCAACTTCATGAATTCAAGTCTGGTCTCAGGCACTTACTTACTATCTGTGTAACTTGGGCAAGTCACTGAAAACCCTGTCTGCCTCAGTTTCCTCCTATGTAAAATTAGCTGGAGAGGGAAATGGAAAACTACTCCAGCATCTCTGACAAGAAAACCCCAAATGAGGTCACAAAGAGTCAGATATGACTGAAACAACACAACAACAAAAACACCAAACTTGGGAAAGGCCTTGAAGATTATTTCCTTTATTCACACTCTGCCTAATCTCATAGGATATTCTGAGAATCAAGAGAAGAGAATGGAATAAGAAATTGTTTATTGCATGTTTGGAGAATTGAAATATATGTTTTGGGGAACTGATAGAATCATATGTATATGTGTGTGTTTGTGTGTGTGTGTGTGTGTGTGTGTGTGTGTGTGTGTATGTTGGGTTAGGGAAGGATTGAAAATACATACATTCTTTTTTGATAAGAAAATCAAATTGGGTAAATCTCTAGTAATTGGGGATGATGTCTGTAAACAATTTTGACCTTTTGGATACATGGTGTAAAGTTATGAGCACTGAGCTTAGAACAAGAAGATCTGGGTTCAAAGATCTGGGATTTGGACACTTATAGCCACGTGACTTTGTCTAAATGTGTTTCCTCATCTGTAAAATGGGGATTGGTTATGATATTTGCATTCACACCATTGTGGAGAAAGTACCTTGTAAATAAAAACAATTTTAAAATGTGAGCAGTTATCTGGAGATATTGTTAGATGATGTGCCTTTAAATTCAGAGTCTAAAGTAGACTTTGGGGCCTGGGGCAAGTAATGGAAATTATTCCAGGAGCTCGAAGTTTACTTTCATTTAGTAGAGGAGAGGGAAGGAAAGGGGGAAGGAAATAGAGACTCTGGGACATTGGCATAAGACAACTGCTGGGGTGAATGGAGGGGGTGAGGAGTAGAGATTTAGGGAGGAGATGAGGAGCTCACTCTAGCTGGCCACCTTGTACCTTCCTATTTTAACTCCTTAATATTGCTAACTAGGTGCTTCATTCTGTTTTTTTTTTTTCCAATACATTGCAGGGACTGCCAGTGCTGTCATGCCCTCTAAAGTCAGCACCCTGGGCAAAGTCCTAGTTGCCTAGCCCTAGTTAGAGTTCTATTTAAATTGTAAATAGTTTAATAGTAAATGACATATAAATGATAGTATCATTTAAAAATTAATTTCTTTTATATAAAGTAACTTAATGTTTCTTTTACTCCATTTCCTTTGTGAAGTTACTCCCTGAGTGAAGACACCCAAGGCTGGCTGAGAATTGATGGAGTCACTGGTGAGATCTTTACCATGGGACACTTGGATAGGGAAACTGCAAAGAATTATCGAGTGAAAGTAATAGCCACTGAGAAAGGTGAGCAATTAAAATATAATAATGCTTTCCAGATATAGATAAAAAGCTAGTGGTAAAATGGGCCAACAGAGGCAGAAAGAGTAATTTATTAGCTATTTGGATTAAACATGAATGAATGAAAAAGTATTTATTAAATGCTTATTTAAATACCAGGCACTGAGCTAACCACTGTGGAAGCAAATACGAAGAAACATGATAATCCCTGTCCTCAAGGAGCTTACAATCTAATAGGGAGAGAGAGGTGGCTTTGGTCAGGGAAGTCACAGGTCTGGTGAGTAGAATCATAGGGAAGTTGATTAACATATCCTTTCTAGGAATGATTGCTTTTCTCAGAGCTAGAGGTTCAAAGGAGGTGAGGGGAAGATTATCTGTTGGCAGAGTATAAAGTTGACCAGCCATGGAGCATCTTGGTGGAAGTGGATTAGGGCTAGATAGAGTAAATAGTCACTAATCAAAAGCCTAGGGTCACAAGGCAGGAGCTGAGTGCTGGGTAGAAGCTGGAAGTTGGAGCATAGCAAGAGGGTATGAAGATGTCCAGGGATCAAAACTATCTGAGGGGAAGCCATTCCAATATTATATAAGTACTTATTTTATCTTCAACCCAGATCTACCTTAGTGTAGTGAGAGAGGAGGGAGTTAAAAAAAAAAAAGAAAAAGAAAATTTTGGTCTAGGCTCATCTCTTTCTGGGGCTCTCTGTATTTTTTTTTGGTCCTGCTAGAGTGAGAGTGGCTTTGGAAATACCTGTACTCCCAGCAAATGCTCCCACTAGGGTGGAACACGTGTGGAGATTAGCTAGGCTCTGTGATATTACTCTCGTTCTCTTCCCCTCATCATATTTGACATGCCCTAGAGTTTCTCTCAGGAGGAAGGATGATCTGCCACCAATATCACTTCCAGAGACTACCACATTTGGCAGCTGAGGAATGCCATTGTAGATTTATTTGAACCTCAGTAACACCTTATTCCTTTGCCCTATCTCCTGAGGCTTCAATCTTTTATCATCGAAACATTTGAAAAGAAAATGAAAATTTCAACAATTCAACCTGAAGGTTCTTTTTGATATATTGTATAAGAGGTACCCAATATGTCTATATTTCAGAAAGAAAGAGAAATAAGAACAAAAGAAAAGACTGTGAGGAAATTCCACTGTTGTCCCCCAATCAAATGTTAGCAGCAAGAGAAGGACCCAACCACATTTTCTGCCTCAGTTCCCTTGATCTCTCGGGTCAGTAGTCTTATCCGTAAAATGAGAAGATTAGAATTAAAGACCTCCAAGGTCCCTTCTAATTCTAGACCTAAGAGCCTGTGAGATATAGAGTACATTAGTCAAGCTGAGTCAAAGTTCGCATAAGCTAAGTTGTAAATGGCATAACATACATGTATGCTAAAAATGGACCTCATACTCATGAAAAGTAATGGACCCTTCAAGAACACCACCATGGGCAGCTGGATAGAGCACTGGCCCTGGAGTCAGGAGGACCTGAGTTCAAATATGGCCTCTGACACATAACATTTACTAGTTGTGTGACCCTGGGCAAGTCATTTAATTCCATTGCCTAGCCAAAAAACAAACAAACAAAAACCTGCTACTATCCTCAAACCTTTCAATAGAGCAAAATTCCCTTCCCCTGCTACAAACCACATACACAAAAAGCCCTTTGAATTGCTCATCACCATTAAAAGAAACACTTTCCAATATATTCAACCTGTCTATTCCTTCATTTCAACCTCAGGTTATGTTTCCTTGAAGCTCAAACTAATTTTGAATGAATTATTGGTAAAAAGATAATTGGGGAATAAGAATTTTCAAGAAATTTTGAAAGCTGTTTCTTTTTTTTACCCTTCCTAATACATAAACACATTGCACACATCTCATCCTTGGGATCAAAAAGAATCTTAGGTTAAAATAAATAAAGCAGGCACATATTTAAGGGAATGAAAACTGTGGCTACAGAGGGCCTGGGATGCCCCAAATGCTCAAGATAAATTGAACTACACAACAACTTCCTTCTTAAAGGCTTGGTGTGAGTCACCAGTGACTCCTTTTCTTACATATCAACAGTGACTCCAAAACTTCACAATGGCACAATGGTGATGAGAGAGAGAGAAATAGACATAGAGAGAGAGACAGAGAGAGAAAGAGAGAGTGAGAGAGAGACAGAGACAGAGAAAGATCAGGAATCCTAACTCTCAGTCTAGCTACTGAAAATACTAATCACCTTATCCTCTCAGAGGTATTAGACAATGTTCATTAGGTTAAATCAGAAATCCATTGTATCTTTAAGTTAGAATGATCCTTAGTAGACATTTACTCTCATTTCCCCCCAAATCATAAATCGCCTTTATAACATTCATGACAAGGGCTGAACAAACCTTTCCTTGTAGATCTCCTACAATGGGAGGTCACTACCCAGAGGCAGCACAAGACAGCATTATGCTTTGGTTAGGCAATGGGAGGGCTCTAAGTGATTATCAAGATAAATAGATGAAGTGGATATTTTGCTGGAATTTCACAAGTTGAGATTATTCACATATTTAAATGGCTTTGTGATCTCATTATTTCAGAAGTTCCATACTTTGATCAGACTGCAACTCATTCATACCTGAGCAACTCTTAGTCCATGGCCTCCCATGGGTTCATCACAGAAGGTTCATCCAATGTGTTGGTCTTTTTTGCCTTCGCCCGACATACAAAGAACAGTTCAGTTAATGATTTAAAGTCTATAGGGTACAGCTAAATTGGCACAAATGTTTATTATACCTACCCACAGCACAACATAGGGATTAACACTCAACTTTGGTCATATTTTTAATTGCTACCATTGGTGGAAGTGTTGTGAATCTCACCCAAGGTTCAGAAATCCGGTCAAAAATGGCTAATATCAGCCTTTGCCACTTCAGAGGAGCATAAGAATAAAAGAATAAGGAAAATCTTGTTGTTATTGTTGTCTTTGTTAAAGTAGAGTGTTTGCTTGGTTGCTGTCCTTCGTTCTCCAAGAGGACCAAAATGGCATCACTATGCTAGAATCAAGTTACAATGCCAACAACTGTGGCTGATCAGACCCATACAAGCTCGGAATGCTCTACCATAGGTTGGGCACAAATAATCCATGTGAACATTTGGAGTGGGTTCTCTAAATTTGCACATCTCATATTTCTTTTGAGCTATGTCAATTCTTCTTTGCTCATAAAACACAGCCCCTTCTCTGATGAGGCCATGCCATGCTGGGTGAGCCTATGCCAGTGTCTCCTGTGTCACACAATCAGTTCCAAAGTTCTTGTATTACTTCTTCTGACCATCATGCGAGTGCTTGCCCTGTCTGATTTCTCCATAAAGTAATCTTTAGGCAAGCATATGTTTGGCATTCAAACAACATGGTCAGCTGATTGTAGTTGTGAAGGTAAAGTATAGACAAGGAACAACAGAACAAAGGTAGGGAAATCCAGCAGGGAGGCCAATACACATTTGTTGAATTACGGTGTGCCACATACTATGCTGAGTGATGGGGCAATGGAGAAGTATAAGAAATCTAGGCTTACTCCACTAGAATCAGGCAGACATCAGGTAGAAAAATAAGCAGAAAAAAAATAACTGTGGTCAATTTTTTAGAAAGGAAGGAGCCTTCATTCATTCACTTATTCATTCATTTTTGTCATGAGGGAAAATGTAGAAATATCACATTGACTGCAAATGTTCTTCATTTCTGTAGGTGGATCCTATCTGACTTCATCAGCATATTTCCAATTAACCCTCCTGGATGTGAATGACAACCCTCCTCGGCTAAAGAAAGACTATACTGGCTTCTTCTTCTGCCATCCACTTACTGCACTGGGAAGTGTCATTTTTCAAGCCACTGATGATGACCAGCAACCACCTTGGGGTCCACAGTTTGATTTCTCCCTTGGGAATGATGGGTTGCAGAATGATTGGGAACTTTCCAAAATCAATGGTGAGTTGTCAAAATTCCACTGATAAGGAGACCTAGTTTATGGACTGCATTTAGAACTTGGTGAAACATTTGATTGGGTTTTTGCAAGCTTGTAGAAATCAATTAAGACTCACTTTCTGCCTGCTGATGGGATGTTAGGTTGTTTTGAACTTAAATCAACAAGCTCCCACCAGGAGAATGCCTTGAATGTTAGAAAAATGAAGAATTTTTGAGACAAAAGATATTCTTACATATGTAACTTTCTTGACCTTGGATAAAGAGTGAAATGAGCTCACAGAATAGCATCGCATCATTGACTACAGTTAGATTGGAGGTTGGTAGTTGTGAAAATCATTTTCATTGACTATTCGCTAAAACTTTACCTTATCTTTATTGATACCTTTTGTTTTAAATCATTCATTTCTGAATATTTCCACTCAGTGAGCTTTTCCATGTAGCACATTGGCTGTTTTCTATGCCATATCTGTGAGTCAAGGTAGAGTACTTCTAGAGACATTCAAAAATTCTAGGCAGACAAACTAAAGGGAAAGAATGGGAAGTGAGTTGCCATTACATCAAGATAGCTCTAAGTAGCAAGTATGACTTTTGGAAACCTGTTAATTTTATTAAATAATATAAAGAGAAAAGATTAAAAAGAGAAACTAGAGATGTACATTTATGCTTGATCTATTCTAGGAGAGGGGCTTTGTGGCACAGTGGAAAGAGCACTGTGTTTGGGATCAGAGATCTTGGATTCAAATCCTGTCTCTGATACTCAATACCTGTGTTACTTAACTTCTGTAGCATACTTAAAAAAAAAGGTGATCGGGTTGAACTATGAGGGTTTCTTAACCTGAGGTCTGTGAGGTGGTTTTTTCTTTAAAGTATTTTCATAACTTTTTCAGTGAAATTAGTTTCCTTTGTAATCCTATATACAAGGAATGCCCAAAGTCTTAGTGCAGTCTTAGTCTATTAAATTTTAATAACTTCAAGCTATTGTTAGTATTTTATAGTATAATTATTATACAATCATACAATTAATGATATTTAATCAACACATTTGATTATATAATGTTTGAATTATCAATAATAAAATTAATTTAATTAATGCATTAAATTAATGCATTTAAAAACATTATTCTGGAAAGGCATCCATAGGCTCTACCATGTTGCCAAAGGGGTTTAAAGAGTTAAGAACCCTAAGATTCCTTCTAATTCTAGATCTATGATCTTAAATAGAAGGATAGTGTTAACAGTGAAGTGCTTTAGTCATTTTCTGACCATGAGAATATAGGGGTAACATTTCCCTTTCTGCTTTGGATAATCTAACTCCCATTACATGTGTGACCACTTACATCCTCAGTATACAAGCAAAGCTGCAAAAGACTTTGAAACCACATCCCCTGATCAGGTTGTTCACTGATTTGGATCCTACTTCAAAGGTGGGAGAAGTGTTCCCAGAACAGAGAGAGTTTAAGGTATTTCTTCATTTAAATCTTTGTCTAATCTGCCCCCTTTGACAGGCACCCATGCTAAACTTTCCATGAAACACACAAATTTCGAAGAGAAGGTGTACGAAGTTTCAGTTAAAATAAATGATAGGGGAATACCACCTTTAGAAAACACTGTCTCTTTCCCAGGTGAGTTATATCTCAGTTTTTTTTTTTAACATTTTGGGGTAATGTTTACTGGTTAGGAATAGCTGCCTGGGAGCTGTGTCTACTCTGTCTTCATTTCTCTTTTATAGAATTAGTCAGTCAATAAATATTTATTAAGCACCTGCTAGGTGGTAGGCACTAGGCTGAGAGCTGGGGATACAAAGAAAGGCAAAAGACAGTTCTTACCCTCAAGAAGCTTACAGACCAGTGGTCTAAAGGGGAAGACAACATGCAAAAGGAAGCTGAAAAGCAAAGGAGGGGAGAGAAGGTACTTGGGCATGATATGGTGCAGGAGATAAGAGAACTGACCTCAGAGACAGAAAGTCCTGAGTTGGAGACATGCCTCTAACAGGTGTGGACTGTTAGACTCTGGGTGAGTTGATTAACCTCTGAATGCCCCAGGCAACTCCCTATGACCATAAGTTACTTAGTAGTTCTAGATCTACATTGATGAATAGACTTTCTTCATTGGGTGTTCTCTACTCCATGGAATCCTCAGGTCAGGACAGAAATGAACAAAAGTAGTACCTTTGTGGGATAGAGGAACAGATAAGGTGAACTCTTTCTAAATAACATTTGATTTGCTTTTCAGTCACTATGTGCAAGTGTGCTACTGATGGATGGTGCTTCCAGCCAGTGGATTCTCTTCCTGGGTTACCCACAACAGGCATGGCAATTGGCATATTCCTAACTGTTTTTTTGATCGTTGGTGAGTGTCCAGTCTTAGTCCTTAGTCTAAGAAGCAGGGGTGACTTGAACTGACATCTAGACCTATATTCCATTAGCTATGGTGGTAGCAACTAGAGCAATAGGAAAGATAAAGCTTTGGCTAATTGTCATGCATAAGGCATGTTAGTAATAATAGCAGCTAAAGTTTATGTCACATCTTATTATGTTATCTCATTCCATCTCCCAAACAATCTTGTGCATTGTGTGTGTCTGGAATATATTGTTATCCCCATTTTACATATGAGGAAACTGAGGCTGGAAGAAGTTGAACCAATTGACCAAGATCACGCAATGAATATGTGGTGACATTCGAACCCAGGTCTTTTGACCCTAAGGCTAATGCTCTTTCAGAATACTGAGCCATGATGCCTTACATTGACGTGGGTCATAGTACCTAGCTTATTACCTTCTGGTGGCAGATAAACTCAATATGTTCCAAACAGAATTTGCTTTCTTCCCACCTTGCCCAATCCACCATTTTCCAAACTTCACTATTTCTGACCAGGGCAAGGCTAGCCTTCTAGTCTCCCAGGTTCATAACCTTGGCATTATCCTTAACTGCACATGCTCCCTCACTCTTCACGGCCAGTCATTTGTCTTACCTTGACATTTCTGTTTCCACATCTCTTGTATCCAAGGTCTTCTCACTAGTCACTACTCATATCGTCTTATTCAAGGCACTTGTTACCTCTCACCTGGGATTCCTAATTCCTCAATGGCTTCCTAATTGGTCTCCTTGCCTCAAATCTCTTTCCACTCCAATTCATCCTCCGCACAGTGGCTAAAGTGTTTTTTTTCTTAAACATAGGTCTGACCATATCACTTCCCTACTCAATAAACTGCAGTGGTTCCCTATCATCTCTAGGATAAAATATAAACACCTCTCTTTTTAAAGCCTTTCACAACCTGGTTCCCACTTAACTTTCTAGCCTCATTTTAATTACTCCTCTTCCCGTATTCTAAAGTCTAGCCAAATGGGCTAGACTCCTTATACATGACAATCCATCTCCCATCTCTGTACCTTACCACCATCCATTCTCCATACCTGTAATGTATTTCCTTCTTATTTCCATCTTTTAGAATTCCTTGTTTTCTTCAAGAGTACATGAAGCCTTTCTCCTGATACTTCCTGTTGCTTGTGTCTTCCCTCTCCAAAACACTATATATTTTTCTGCATATTCTATGTGTGTGTACATATGTGTATAAACACATATATGTTAGTTTGTTGTTGTTGTTGTTGTTTTTCAGTTGTGTCCAACTCTTGTGGTCCCTTTTGGGGTTTTCTTGGCAAAGATACTGGAATGGTTTGCCATTTCCTTCTCCAGTTCATTTGACAGATGAGGAAACTGAGGCAAACAGGTTCAGTAACTTGCCCAGGGTCACACAGCTAGTAAGTGCCTGGGGCCAGATTTGAATTCAGGAAGAGGAATTTTTCTGACTCCAGGCCTGGCACTCTATCCACTGTACCACCTAGATGCCCTACAGGTACAGATGTATACATATATATCCATGTTGTCTTCCTTCATAGAATATAAGTTCCTTGAGGGCAAGGACTACTTTTTTCATTATATCCCCAGCTCCTAGAACTATGCTTGGCATATAGCAGGTACTTTAAAAATGCTTGATGTGGCATAAAGCAGTTTCATAAAACAAAGAGACAGCACTTTGATGTCTAGTATCAAGTAAAGCTTCCAGAATAGAAGCAGATGGTACAGGCAGTAGTCATATTACCACTGTTAGAATATTCAGCTGCCCCATGGAAATGCCAGTGTCTCTTGGGTAATTCCCTCTATGAGGGTGGTTGTATCCTCAGTCAGTACCTGGCACATAATAGCTGCTGAGCAAATATTTGTTGATTATTAGATTTTATTGTTGTTTAGAGAAGAGAGGAATTATACATCTTTTCTTGGTCTTCTTCCAAGGTTGTGGACCCCCCAAACTCTATATTGTCTCAGATAAGCTCTGTTATATTTCCTAAAGAACCCTTTTTGAGCTTATTTTTCATAGTAGATGACAGGTCCTACTATTTTAATTCTTTTACAGGTTCCCTGGTTCCCAGAAGTTTTTCGTAGATAGCTAAATGATGTTTTAGCAGTTCCTTTTTAAAGTTAGGTAAATTAAAGCCTGGAGAAGAATAATCTTTCTCTGAATGTAAGCCAGATAAAACAGATATTCTAGGAAATGCAGGTACTGATTTAGATATGGATTTGGTAAAATCTCAGATTTATTCCTTTCAAAGTGATTATAGAGAAGAAGAGGGGCTTAGGTTTCTGCAACAGAATACTAATCAGTATTTCTATTTCTCTCCTTGCAATCCATACATTCTTCACTTTATAAATAGTGTTGAGGATCTGGACCTCTGATTTTACTGGTAGAGAGCATGGAAACTCCCTTCACTGTTACAGATTGGCAACTTGTGTAAACTGTATTCTTAGAGAGTTTCCTGGGGTACTAAGAGATTAAATGACATATAGAATCACATAGGCAGGACTTTGTCTTCAACTTAATGCTACATGCATCTCTTTGTTTTTTACATACTGGTTTACATGCTGTCTCCCCAATTAGACTATGAGCTCCTTGAGGGGAAGGAATGTTTATTCTTCTCTTTGAATCTCCAAGTTCTTAACAAGTGCCCAACATCTAGTATGTACTTATATTTATTGACCCTCTGACCCAAAGGTTCACCCTCTAGCCATTATGATTCGCTATTCCTCTGTCACATCATGCTGTCTCTCTTCTGCTCAATGATCTATAACAGCTACTTATTAATGATGGCATCAAGTCCAAGCAGTTCATTCTGCTTTTCTGTAAGACCCTACATAAGGGGATCCCACCTTACCTTACCTTCCAACCACATAATAAATGCCATTTCTCCCAAGAAAACACTCGTTTCTCATAGAAACCCTCTGTCCTTGTCAGACTGTTCTCCTTAGAACTGTTATCATTGCATCAAGAAGCTCCCTATTACAAGTGACATCAATTTCAAACTTCTCATCTGGTAATTGCATCTGTTTTATTTCACCAATTAGACTCTAAACTCTTTGAGCAGAGAAACCATGTTACCATACCTGGAGCCTAAATTTGGCAAGTAGGTGGTACAACGAACAGAGCACTGAACTTTGGAGTTGGGAAGACTGAGATTGAATTCTGCCTCAAAGGACTTACCAGTTGGGTGATCTTGAGCAAATCACTTGATTTCCCTGAGTCCTGAGCAAGTCAGTTACCCTCTCTGAGCCTCAGTTTCATCTTCTGCAAAATGAGAATACTAATAGCGCCTACCTCACATAGTTCTTAGGACCCTCAAATAAAATAACACATGAGAAGGGCTTTGCAAACCTTAAAATACTATGTAATGCTAGCTACAATCATTGCCTTAGATAGGGGTGGGGAACCTGTGGCCTCAAGGCCACATATGGCCCTCTAGGTCCTTACGTGAGTCCCTTTGATAGAATCCAACCTTCACAGAACAAATCCCCTTGATAAAAGGATTTATTTTGTAAAACTTAGGCTTAGTCAAAAGGCTGCATCCAAGGACCTAGAAGGTCACATGTGGCTTCGAGGCTTCAGGTTCCCCATCCCCTGGCTTAGTCTAAAAGGTTCAAGGGCAGCTAGGTGGTGCAGTGGATAGAGCACTGGGTCTGACATCAGGAAGACTCTCTTCCTGAGTTCAAATCTAGCTTCAGACACTTACTAGCTGTGTGACCCTGGGTAAGTCACTTAACCTTCCTTGCCTCCATTTCTTCACTTGTCAAATGATCTGGAGGCAGAAATGGCAAATCGCTCTAGAATCTTTGCCAAGAAAATCCCAAATGGAGTCATGAAGAGTAGGATGTGACTGAAAAAACAACAACAAAAAGCAGGTTCAAGAGTTTTTTTCTTTTTTTAAAAATGAAATAAGCACTCATGAATCATAAAATCCAACTAAAGCCACATCAATAATTACAGTTTAAAAAACACATAATATATGAGAATAAAAGAAGGATAAAACACAACTTCCCTTCAGTTGTCAGAGTCAAGAACTGAAGGAAGCATGATGTGCCTACAGTTCAAACTCGGGAAAATATTTCAAACCACTGTGTCTTCCCCAAGTCTAATTCTTTGCCATTCAAACCACCAGATGTGCAATGCACTTGATGGCGCTGAGCAGCTAATGGCTGCAACAGCCCCTAGAACAAGCCCAGGATCCCAAAACTTCCATTCCTTAAGCTATTTTTTCCTCATTAAAACCCATGTTTATTTAATACGAATGGTTCATCATATTATAAAAAGGCAGGATGGTCTATTGGATAGAGAGCCTACCTTGAAGTCAGGAGCCTGGGTTCAAGTCTTATCTCTGACCCTTACTGGCTCTATGACCCTGGATAAACCTTTTAACCTCTCAGTGCTCTAAGTAACTCTCAACAGAGATGTTAAATGTGTGGTCAGCTGGCAATATTCATGAGTGTGGCCCGAACCCAGTGAAAATGTAATTGGGAAATACTTAACAAAATATTTCAAAATAAATTAAAATAAATAAATACATTAAAGCATAGATCATATCACATTTTAAAACTAAGTCAATATGTCCCAAAAGGGATTCTTATGTGTGGATTAGTGGCCTCATACCAAAATCACAAGACTATCCTTTGTTGTTGTTCGGTTATTTCGCTCGTGTCCAACTCTTTGTGACCCCATTTAGGGTTTTCTTGGCAGAGATACTGGAGTGATTTGCCCTTGCTTTCTCCAGCTCATTTTGCAGCTGAGGAAACTGAGGCAAACAGGGTTAAGTGACTTAGCCAGGGTCACACATTAGTATGTGTCTGAGGCCAGATTTGAATGCAGGAAGATGAGTCTTCCTGACTTCAGGCCCTGCACTCTGTATACTGTGCCACCCAACTGTCCTTTGGTCCCTATCCTACAGTTGATTAATATGAACCTTTTGCAAACTCATTAAATGACTGTGTACTTTTTTTTTATTAGCATCTATTTTACAATGGATTTTTCTCTTTCAGGTGTGACTTTAACAGCTACATTTATCCATTTGAAGAAAAAGAAGAATCAAAATGAAACCAATTTAGAAAGTGCTCAGTCACCTGAAAATGTACCTCTAAGGACATGATTATCAAGGGCAGTTTTTGAGTTTAACTACCACATGCATATTTGCCAGTGTGACCTTTTGTTCCATCATTATGCTTTTTGAAAAATGTAAAAACATCAACCAATATCTGCTCTTTCAGATTTTTGACAGAAAGTTCCTCTCACCCAATCTTTAGTTACTTTTAAATGTTATACAGGCACATACTTTCCATTCTTCCATGGCATGTTTCTTCTACGTCACCCTTGGTTATTTATCCAAGAGTTTGAATGAGCATTGAGACCCAGGAGGCCTGGTACTATAGTGGAAAGAGTACAAGGCTAGGAGTCAGAAAGCGATGGATTCAAATTCTGTCCCCAGCACAAACTAGGCTGTGTGACAATGGGCAATGCAATTCCCATCCTGACAAAATCACAGATCCTCAAGTATTTATAGTCAGGACATGGAAACTGCCGTTTGTTTAGTACCATTGCAGAAGGGAAGACAGTATCTCTCTCTCTCTTGGTACAAGTTCTGCTACAGTATTTCACTGCATAATCGTCACAGATTTTATGCCAATTTTTGTTTTTGCAAAAAAGTGGGGTTCAACCATTACGTGAAACTTTTCTAAAAAAATTACACTGTGATTGCTTAAAAATCATTTATTACTAAACTGTATCACTGGTAGACAAACAGTACAGTTTAGAGGAAGATGCAAGTCTTACCATGTCACATGACTTTCTCATGGCAGCTTTTCCTGACCATTCGCTCCCCTTGCACCTAAGGCTCTTCATTAGCTTGAATGACAATACCTTAATACTAAACAAACCACACAGTCCACTTTTGGAAATATACTGACAATGTCAGTGCACTGAGAATTCTAGGCTGTGACTTGCAATGTGCAAGAGAAAGGCATATCCATATGCCATTGGTGAATACACTGTTGCTCTGTTTACCTTCTAAGGGGCATGACAAATAGAATTATACCATAAAATGATTCTGTGATGAAAGGTTGTAAATCAATTTTGGGACTGAAAAAAATACCATCAGGTGCAACAATTATGAAGTGAAACATGGTGTTCTGATATTTCCCATCCACATTTTCTCCATTATGCTTGATGTGGTATAAAGTATCCACATCCAGGAATTTTCAAGTTTCGCTCTACCAAAACGTCCTGGCCCTCTGCTTCAGAAGTCTTGGGTATTACTTATCCTCTTTTTTCTCTGTATGTCTTTTAAAAATGAGTTCTTTTGATACTTTTTTTAAAAGCATGGAATGGAATGCGATGGAAAAGCATTTATTAAGTGCTTACAATGGGAATGCATTTATTAAGTGCTTACTGTGTGCCAAGCAGGGAGTTAAGTGGTGGGGATATTACTAAAAAATTGAGAAGGGTCTTGTTTTCGAGAAGCTCAAATTCCATCTGGGGTGGGTGAGGACAACAAATCTTCATCATGTCCCAAGACTCCCACCCCAACGATAGAACCTCTCCTTATAATAAAGGTGTACAGTTAAGCAAAACAACCAACAAATTAGCCATAGCTGACACCATATAGCCCATTTCACATCAGTACTTTACCAGGAAGAAGAAGGTACTTCTCAGTATCCGCCTTCTAGTCTGTATATAACCACCTGTATCTCAATATTATCTCATTTGTATGGAAAGTTTATAATAGAAGGAAAAGAATAAAATTGGGCCTTAATTGGGGTGGGTGGAGGAGATTAATCTACCCGAATAACAACAAGAAATTCAGCATCATTAGTTTTTCTTCCCTCAGCATGGCTTGCTGGATTTCCCAGTTTTTAAATGGCCTGAACCAGGCATCCTTAACCAGCAACTTTGCTATATTTTAGCCATGGTGCATGGTGCAGAAGCCTAACAATTAACATGCCTTTTACAAGCACAGCATTACCCTCATGGGCTGCTGCTTTCCAACTTTGGATGCTTTTTGTATGTGTATTTTAATAGAGTTTTAGTCTTTTTTTTTTTTTTGCATTTTTACTATGTAAGAAAATAAAAAGAAGTGTTGATGTGAAATAAAAGTAAAATTTGACTTTTATAAATTTGTTTCTTTTCTCTTCTACTTCCATTCTTAGATCTTTGCATTAGTTGTGGAGAGAGAGGTACTTGGAGAGAAAGATGGTCAAGATGGTTAATGAATTGACTCTCTATGAACTATCAGTCTCAATTTTTTTTTTCAGAGCAGAAGGAGCCTGGAAGGAAAAAAATTTTGAAGTGCCATGAATCCTAGCTAACACAGCCACTAGGCTGCAACTTCCAAGGACAGATTACCTAAAATTTTTATTTTTAAAAAGAGTAAAAACCTCAACTCCCCACGTCCACAGTTCTTTCACCCCCTGCACACAATCCCTGCCACTTGGCCCCATGTTTTAGAGGATCAAAAGTCTAAGAGCAAGCTGCTTATGAGGTCTGGCTTCCAGTGGTGGGATGCAGGCAGCAAGATGCTACAAAAACTGTAACAGACATGTTAAAATGCTGGGGCTCTCTAGGGAGGAATCCAATTCAAACCAATAAATATTTATTAAGCCCCTGCTATATGCAGACAGGTAGGTGGCTCAGTGGATAGTACTGGGCCTGGCATCAGGAAGCCCTGAGTCCAAATCCAGCCTCAGATACTTATTAACTGTGTGACCCTGGGCAAATCACTTAACCTCTGTTTGCCTTAATCCACTAGAAAAGAAAATGGCAAGCCATTCCAGTGTCTTTGCTATGTATCTATCCCATGGGTAGTACGGTCCACAAGATCACAAAGAATAGGACATGACTGAACAGTAGCAGCAACATGCAGGCAGCTAGGTAGCTCAATGGATAGAGTGCTAGGCCTGGAGTCAGGAAGACCTGAGTTCAGATCTGGACTCAGACTCTTACTACAGTATGACCTTGAGCAAGTCACTGAACTTCTGTTAAGTTGCCTTAATTCACTGGAGAAGGAAATGGCAAAGCACTCTATCTTTGCCAAGAAAACTCCATGTACAGTGCGGTCCACAGGGTCTCAAAGAGTCAGACACAACTGAATGACTGAACAACACATGCTAAGCACTGGAAATACAATTAATTAATAGAGAAAGACAGTCCCTGCCCTCAAGAAGCTTACAATCTAATGGGAAGAGAAAAACATACTAAAGGAGGCAGGAAAGGGAGAGGGGATGGATACCACAGGGTGTCTGGTACATGGGACCATCTCATTTGCTGGAGCTGAAACCAGGCAGAGCTGCAGATACAGATTAAAGTAAGCGAAAGTCCAGTTTCTGCCTTCCATAAAGGAAGATACTGAGAGGAGTTCAGTACTCGACCCTCCAGCCATCCAGTCAGAGGGGAGAAGAGGCAAAGGGAGGTAGAGTCAATCAAGGCTTGAGTTAACAGCGTGGTGATGAGATTAGAGGTGATGAGCTTAACCTGAGAGGGGCATCTTATTGCAAGAGTTGAAAACAGGCATATCAGCAGATGCAGAGTGGGGTAGTTTATGTGGAGAAGAGTACCAAGAGCATGTTGTTGGTGTCCAGGGCGGGGAACCTGCGGGCCTTTTGACTGCATCCAAGTTTTACAGAACGAATCCTTTTATTAAGTGGATTTATTCTGTGAAGTTTGGATTCATTCAAAGAGCCTCACCTGAAGACCTAGAGGGCCACAAGTGGCCTCAAGGCCACAGGTCCCCCACCCCTGGTGTAGAAAATCCATCTGGATAATGAAGTCCTGGAATATTAGAGATGAAAAGAAAACCCATTGAAATGTCATGTTGCTCAGTCACATCTGACTCTTTGCGATTCCATTTACTGTCTTCTTGGCAAAGATACTGGAGTGATTTGCCATTTCCTTCTCCAGCTAACATGGAAACTGAGGCAAATGGGGTTAAGTGACTTACCCAAGGTCAGACAACTCATAAGTGTCTGAGGCCAGATTTGAACTCAGGAAGATGAATCTTCCTGACTCCAGGCCTAGCACTCTATCTACTGTGCTACCTAGCTGCCTCTGGCAGCTAAACTTTCTTTTATGTGTTTTTTTCCTCAATTAGAGTATGAGCTCCACCAGAATGAAGACTTTCACTTTTTCTACTCTATCCCTAGCACTTAACACAGTACTTGGCACAAGGTAAGTACTTAATAAATATGCTTTCTTTTTCTTTGTTACTTTTTCATTCTCTCTTTTTCCTTTTCTTCCCTGTCTTTTTCTCCTTTCCTTCCTTCCTTCCTTCCTTCCTTCCTTCCTTCCTTCCTTCCTTCCTTCCTTCCTTCCTTCCTTCCTTCCTTTCTTTCTTTCTTTCTTTCTTTCTTTCTTTCTTTCTTTCTTTCTTTCTTTCTTTCTTTCTTTCTTTCTTTCTTTCCCACTTCACAATTTACAGTTTGTATCCATAGCCCATCACTCTTCCCCTCACTGTCAGCTTCACCTCCTCAAGGACTAGTTAGCCCAAGAAGGGGTAGCATCATCCTGAGTCAACCTGTTTCTGAACCTGTGTCCATCACATTCCTTCTGCTCAGTGTGCTTCTCTCTACTTCCCTTCCCATCCCTGCTCTTTGAATTCTTACCTGTCCTTAAAGGTATAGTTCCTCCATGAAGTCTTCCCTAATCCCCAACACTTACTGGTACGTTTTAAGGTAAGGGACATCTCAAAGGACTCAGGTCTTTATTTAAGACAACTGGAAATTTGAAACCAGAAAAGTCTGTTAGGAACTTTTATTGCCCATTAGGAATTCTATTATCTGGGACAATGAAATATCAAATGTTTCCACAGAATTTGTTTTTTCTAATGTTCAGTGCTAAGAAGGAAATCATATTTTAGGCCACCACATGGTAATTTTGTCCCTAGGAAATTGGTTACATTCCACCCAAAAAACTTATTTATTCATGTGATCTTCATTAGGTAGGGTGGGGAATGAGGCAGAGAAGGAAGACAGGAGGTGGAGGGAAAAGCAGAAAGAGGTAGAATGCATACTCATTTGGTGCTTTCTCATTTTTTCCACTGCTCAGAAAGGATGCTGACATGAAGGCCCAAGATTTGAAAATCTAGTTTTGGAGAAGTTGGAGGAGGAGGCATATGGGCATGTGGAAGAAAGAAATAAAAATAGTTGGTGTGTTTACACAGCATTTTTTAGTTACTCTTGAATATAGTACAGGGCTTAGACGAAACAGAACATTTTTTGGTCACAAGCCCCTACAACCAGGCCTGCCTGGCTCTCTGCCAGTGGAAGCTCTCTGAAACAGTCCTGCCTGGGGATGTGCCCCAGGCACTGTCAAAACCAGAGGCATTTCCTCAGTTTCATGAAGGATGGAACCATCATATGCCTAGGGAAAAGTTCCATAAGACACCAAATTAGGGGGTGGAGGAGAAAGCCACACCCCTTCACCCCTCACCCATAGCACTGCCCACAGGGTTTTCCATGGCCTCTTGCACAATGAGTGTTCAAACTCCTCCCAAAGGGAAACAGGGAAGTACAGTGGGTTCACTTTCTTTGCCCTTAGGATCTAGTTGGCCCTGCATATACCCTCTGACATTTCAGTACAGCTCATGCCACAGCCTGGGGACAGGATGGAACTCCCACTG